AGAGGAGAATGGAGAAGAAGTCTGTATGAAATATTGGCCTCCAAACGAAGGAGGCAAGGGGCAGTATGGTGAATACAAGGTCACTCTGCAGATGGAAAAAATCTCGAAAAACTTTGTAGTTAGAAAGCTTCACATAACTCCTAATGTGAGTCATCATGCCATTATATTTTAATTTTTAAATGTTACATTGCTATGTTTTCTTAGGATGGAAGGGAAGGCCGTGTTGTGACTCAGTTCCAGTACACTGCTTGGCCTGAGAGTGAGTGCCCTCCTGATACTGGATCAGTCATTGAGATGATTGGCGAACTAACTAGAGCTCAAATGAACTCTGGAAACAAAGTGATCACTGTTGTATGCAAGTGAGCAGCAATATTAAAATTTGAGCACATATTATTATTAAATATTTTGTCAGTAATGGTGCTGGTAGATCTGGTGCTTTCTTGTGCTTACACTCTCAACTGGAGAGACTCAAAACTGAAGGAGAAATTGATATATTTAAGTATCTCAAAAGTGCTAGGACCAAACTCATTGGACTGCTGTCAGATCCAGTGAGCTGTAATTTATCCCAATACCTTTTATAATCTTTTTAATAGGTGCAGTACGTATTTGTTCATGAAGTGATTCTGTCTTACATTGACTCATTTGATCTTTATGCTAATTTTAAGCGTGTCTAGTTTTTCTTGCTCCAAAATTTTTAACAGAATTATCATTGTATACCAGGATTGTAAATAACAGAAGAATTATTATTTTTACTAATTATTGTGTATTTTTATAAATTTTTAAACGCCTACACACTGTTAATAAATCTTACCTTGACTTATGGGAATGGCAATGTCTGTTAATTATGCCTCAAGACTGTCAGAGTCGAGGGGTCCGCAACTCCTATTTTAGGTGTACGAGATTGAGAGATTAACCAGATTTTTGAGATTATCAGACTCAGAGATTATTTGAGATTATTTGGAAGATTACCAGAGATTTTTTTGAGATTTCCAATAATTTTTTGGGATTATCAGAGATTTTTTTGAGATTATTAATTAATTAACTACTTTATAACTTTTAATATTTATTAATTAAAGCTAGTTAACCATTATAACTATTAATAATTATTAATTGAGGTAAATTAGATCTAATTTTAATAAACTCCGGATACTAGCAGATATGGTGAGATTATTTTGAGATTTTTAAAGATTATCAAGGATTTTTTGGGATTTCCAGAGATTACTGGAGATTTTAAAGATTAACAGATTATTTTCAAGGGTGTACGGGATTATTTGGAGTTGCGGACCCCTCGGTCAGAGTACAGGGATAAAGGAGTTTGTGGAGTTCCTGAGGTAATAGTTACCTTTATAAGCTACTATACTATCGGCTACCATAGATAGTGCATCTTATGATTATACCAGTTAGGATTGTAATTTTAGGATTGTAATTTCTTGCTTGTGATGTATGTAGGTTTATGATGCCTGGGAAGAGGTAGAGAGGAAAGTGAGCCTACTCTGTGAATGGTTAGGATCTTCCTCACACGCTGTGGCCCATACTGGAGCTGGTATAAGCACTTCTGCTGGTTAGTAGTTCTAAAATTAATAGGGAAGGCAATGAAATTGAATTATAAATTTTTAAAACTGTGTCAAAAATCAAAACTTGGGGTTGCTCATGAGCCCTTGAAAAATTGAGTATAAAAAAATTGTTCAACACTTTGAGATGCAAACAAGCTAGCTTGAGGTGTGAACAAGGTCAGGGAATTGTATACCGTAAGGGGAGTAATTTTCGTGGGTAAAATATTTCGTGTTTCTTAATAAAAGACTTAAATTTGAAAATTTCGTGGTGTTTAATTTTTTGTGGTCAATAATTGGGGGTGCGTCAGTGTGTCTTCATGCGGTGGGTGTGGTCACATTTTGCTTAGCAACACCTTAGTAACGAAGGCAGAAGTAGCATGTATCCTTGTAGGTTCTTTGTAGTTGCTCTAAACATCATTAGAACTTCATGAAGTACCATTTATAATTGCTAAAGGTGGAAGTTATTGTATTATTTTTAGCTTTACCTCCTTTTTAAGTACTCAAAGTATCGGAGTTCATTTTCACTCGTGACGCTTGCCAATTTCTCCTTGTCCTTTGCAAATGAAACTTCTCACGCAACTAAAACAACCTTTTTAGATCGTATATCTAAAGTTGTATGTTGAATGCAACTGAAGAAAGCAAGCGGCTCAGTGCTAAAGCAGCCCTACTCAATCTAGGAGTCCACGGGTGGAGTTTTAGCTAGCCTAGCAATGGCTTAGCAACCATGGCCTCGACTAGTCACAGTAACGTTTCTGCTCGAAGCGTCTTCTCCGATGACTCCTGCATCTTTATTCTTTCAAATCCTACCTAATAGGTCCTACTTAACATGATAGAACTTTCTCTTTTGCTTCGCCAAGTCTGTGTTGCTAAAAAAAAGCGGTGCGTATCTTTACAACAGTTGCTTTATGCTGCTTCATTGACTAGATACTTATTGTATCTAAGGACAAACATTCCATAATAGCTGCTAGCAAGTTTGAAGTCTCTTGGTACTAGATCTTTAGAGAAATGTGTTGCCAAAGTGGCACTACAAAAATTTATTTTTTACAAAAATTAATTTTGTACCAGGGGTGTAGTTTAGATCTAATATTAATAATAACTAGGGTGAATGTAAACATTGAAGGGGCAAGCCATCAATTCACATTGTTTGATAAGAAGATTAAAATTATAATAAATCCAGCTCTTAGCCTGCATGCATATTCAGACCCCAGCCTCATGGCTGTGGTCTGAACAGAGCAAACACACCAGTTAACACAACCAAAATATCCCAGTTTTGAAAAAAATGTGCCAAGCTAAACTTTTAATCAAGCTTGCATCAATTAACATCTTTTTGAAATAAAATCAATCCAGCTCTTAATGTGCATGCATATTCAGACCCCATCCTCATAGTCCGGCATGGTCTGAACAGAGCAAACCCACTATTTAACACCACTGACCAAAATGACCTAGTAAAAGTGACAAGAATGAACTGTCCTAATACTTTGAGAAAATGTGACAAGTAACTTCTAATCAAGCTTCTCTCACAGTTTTAATTCTTTCAATGAGAGGACTAATCTAGAGGAGTCTTAGATCAAACTGCCTTTAAGTTCTTCAGCCTTTAGACAGTCCCTCTCTCTTATAACTGTTAGAAACTCAATCTGAGTTTGCCATGTTAAAATATCCGCCATCTTGCTCTTTTGACCACACCCTCTAGATTAATTTTGCCCACGTAGTCCAAATTTATCAATAATAGTATACTAATTTAATTTTTGTATTCTTCCGTTCATAAACAAGACGTAACGCAAATAGACCTAGACAGATTAGTGTGGGTCTTGTTCATGCTCGCCCAAATTAACTAGGTATAAAATTTCGTGGATTTGAATTGTAACACGAAAATAACAAAAATTAAACCCCCACGAAAATTACCCCCCTTACGGTAGCTGGAAACTTTCAAAGCTAATGAATTTTGTCATTTTTGTTGTTTTGTTTGAGATTTGCAAATTAAAATCGGTAAAATCTAAAAATAAGGTGTAATATAGCAAGGCTGCAAAAGTCATGGCAGCCATTTTGTTTAGGGGTGAATCCTACTTAGTAACGCTACCGCGTTACTAATAAGATGGCAGAATGCATTGTAAAAATTAAATCCATGGAAATGATTTTTGGGCAGATTTGCAAAAGTTTAATCCCTTGAAAGCTTCTAGCTATACGGTTTGTATAATAATGAAGTTGATCATTACATTAAATGTTTTTGTTTATCTCTATATTGTCTCTAATAGGTTAAATGGTGGTCAGTTCTCTATTCCTTCCCATCTCTCTTTGTCCATTACTCAGTTAATGAATACACTGCAGTGTGCTTGCATCAGTGAGGGAATACTAATGGAGGAAGAGGTTGATAAGAAGACCTTATGCTATCTTGACAGGCTCTTCTCTCAGACTACACTCTTGGACTGTTTGAATAGCAGCAGTGCAAAGTTAGTCAATGCACTTAATATTGTAAAAAATATATTTTTTATTTTTAGAAATGAGGATCAGCCACTTCCTTCAATAAAATCCTTTCCATTATAACTCTCTATAGATTTTGTATCTATTTTTAAATTTCAGCCTGGCATGGATTGTAACTATCAATAGAAATGCTTCAATACTATGAATACTATCAATATCATAGATTGATTGCCACGCCCTGATCTTTGAGATTATGGAGATGCTCTTGGCTTTCCTCTTGGTCTTTCTCTCTGCTTTGCTTGCTCCAGAAGGAGGAGTGCAGGCTATGGAGGGAAGTGCACCTACTAACCTTCCTATTAATGGTAAGGAGTTACCTGTACTATGTAACATAGACTGGTTCGCGATAATACCAATCTAGGTGTGCAGTTATTTCTAGCATTGGAAAACAGAACGCTGCCTGATTACTCTGCTGTAAAAGGCGGTCAGCTCTTTAATAATGATCGCAATTCGGATGGCGTTAATGATGCTTTGTGGTGTCAGAGTGCTAACAATATGACTAATATTGGAGTGTGGTATTATCCTAATGGAACTGAAGTACTTTCATTTAGTGGACCATTAAATACGAGTAGTAGTGATGCTCCTAATCCAGTGTTCAGCAAGAGGTTTAGTGGTCAGATTGCACTAGTACGAAGAAGAGGAATAGGTGGTCCTAATGTTCAAGGTTTATACAAGTGTATCATTCCTGATGAGAGTGGAACAAATCAAACACTAGTGGTTGGAGCATATGCTAACATGGTTTATAATAATAATGGTTAGTTATACTAAGAGTTGATAAGCTCTTTATTATGCGTGTGTAGATGGTCCTGATGCAAGCTCTCCCATGCAGTTCTCTCTCCTCTCCACTAGTAGATTAGATACTCCTCCAGTCTTCAGTCTCAGTTTCAATGTCTCTGATGGTCCTCCTACTACTGTCAGTTGTTCAGTGAATGGGAATGGAATATCTACCAAACTGTCTCGTGTGATATTGAATGGACCAGGATCTTATACAAGAGTGACAGTAACAGTGAGACTGAGAAAAGCTGGTAATTATCAGTGTACTGTATCTAATGACAGAGTAACTGATGGTACCATTAGTAATGTTACTGCAATCAACGGCACAACCTCACTGAATGTATCAGGTTAGTATAAAAACACTTTTCTATTTAAATTTGACTCTTTTACAGTGTCTGATACTCCAACTGGTTTAACTGCTACAAGATTAAGTACTGGTTTAGCTCATGTAAGACTCTCCTGGTCTACTGTATCAGAAGCTACGGGTTATGAGGTCTTCTATCAACTCTCCAACAATGATCCCATTAGTATGAACACTACTACCACTACATCATTTGATATAACAACTATTTTAATGCTTGGAAATACGTATACGTTTTATGTGGTTTCTTATATTGATACTTATGCTTTTCTGCCCAGCAGAAATTCATCAACAATAGTATCACTTAGTAAGCTAGCAATTATCTGTTAATCTTCATTGTTCCATTTTCCAGATAATCCTGAGGTTACTGATCTTATTGCTACTAATATTACCAGCACATCATTCAATTTGTCATGGAGTCCACCTGCTAATATTTTCCCACCAAACAATTTTAATATTCAATTTGAGTGTCATCGACTTTGTGAACTGTCATCTTCTATTGCAACTCAAGCATCTGTTTCATCACCCTATGTAGTTAATGACATTGCTCCATACAGTAATTGTGCTATTGATTTAATTGGTCTGTATGATGAAGGGAACTACACATTGGCAAATACATCAGTTCAAACTCTTTCAACT